CTGGAACTTTTGAAGTCCGTTTCTGAGGTTAGAAAATGAAGTCTGCTCAGCACTGGTACTCTGGCAGGGTTGGAAGTGGGAATGGCACTAAGGAATGGGTCTGCTTTAGAGTCAGTGTGTGGAGGCTTTGGACCCCTCTTGAGAGGCTTCTGAGGGATGAGCGGGGGGCAAAGGTCCTCCCTGCTCACAGAGGAATCGGCCTGGGGGAATCCCACCTGCAGTTTCTTTGGCATGGCTGGAAGATGCTCTGGAGAAGCTTCATTTTACACTATTGGCAGTCACTGTAAGCAAGGAAAGCTTTTGCAGTTCCCCGGTACTGCGTTCAGGGCATGGCCAGTGGAACAAATTTTAAGTGTATGTCTGGCCTTCCCTTAAAAGATGAGAAAAGTGTGTGTTTGTACGTTGGGTCATGCCACTTGTCAGCTGCTCCAGCTTGTCCTGGCATTTCCTCTGTTCTACTGTGCCATGCTTCAGGGACGGGAGTTTCCAGCCTGGCTCAGGTATGCTGGCTGAAGCTTTCAAGACAGATGCCATATTTGAACTTTCAGATGTGAGCAAGTCTTCCAGTGAAAACAGACTTCTGCTGTCCCTGGTGGAGGATTAACAGAGTTTTTGTGCATGTGGGCAAAAGAGCTGTGTACATGGCAGAAAGTGACTTGGTCTGAATGCCCTTCTCTTGAGAAACTCAGGCCTCTCCAGAAGCAGCTCACCAGCCTGCGGGGGAAGTCTAAGTGGAGGGGGGAGAAGGTGTGTAACTGCAGCAGAGACTGAGTTGCTGCTGTGAGAGTCATGCAAACCACAGTCTACATCTGCTCTGTTCCCCCAAATCAAGCTTCTCCTGGTTTCCTTCCTTGCTTTTCTTCTTTAAAGCCATTTTTCCCATAAGCTCATCTCAGCTTGTGGAGTTAAAAAACGTGGCCTTGCTCCACTCCTGATATGCCATATTTCCTCATTTTATCTGGTGTGTGCTGCTTTTGTTGCCAGTGCTTAATTATACCACCTTGTGTGCCCTTATTCCCGCTTGCCAGCATTTGTGAAGTGGGATGTGCTGAAATGTCTGAATTTGGCATAGGGCTTTTCTTAGGTTTCTCTGGAAATCTCAAGGGGAAATACATTCTGCAGTCCCAAATACTGCCTTGTCCTTTCCTTTCCCCATAAGGGAAGGTAAGTCTGAGCAGCACCTAACACAGTGGAGCTGTCATCTTCTGGGGTCTGTGGTGCAGAGAGTTGCAGGGGGGACATAATCCATCGCTACAGGCTGGCTGGCGAGGTTCTCCTCTGGCTTTGGGCTGCCCTTTAGCTCTATCAGCAGGTGGAGTCCTGGGGACTCACTGGCCTCTCTGGAGAAGTATGTCTGAAAACACACACTGAGAGTGTTTGCCAGGAGATAACTGCATTCCAGGGAGTGACTCTTTTGTCTTGCTAAAATCGAGGAAATCTGATCAAAGTGCAGCCTTGCTTTAGACTTTTTCTCTTTCTTTTTGACTTTGTCCCTGACCTACATATTGGATCCTGCCACGCTGGTTGGAAGTAATTGAGACGGTAGTGTTAGGCTATTTACCAAGCTGTTCACTTGAAAATAACCTTACTGCGTCCAGTCCACACCTGTTCTGGGATAATTTCGGAGACAAATAACAAAGTGTCATTAACCCTTTCAGTCACATGCAACCTGTTCAAGGTCTAACTGTAGAGTGAGGTTATACCTCTGCTGATGCCAGGAGGAATTTGTGACACAAGGTGCGCTTCGCTGTTTGTTTCCCAGCTCCATGGATGATTCCGCCCAGCTGCTGAAGTCAGGGCCACTATGTGTCCACATCCAAATGAGGACACTTCAGAGACCTCCTTGTAATAGTTCCTGCTGGGTGGTTGTTGGTTTGGTGTTGAGTCTGCTGGACCAGAGGCTATGCTGGAAAATATGTGCGTGTGGGGGTATTTTCTTTGTTATCCCAGTGGTTGTTTCTGATTAAAGGATCTGTTTTGAAGGGGCTGCTAGTCAGTTGCCTAGAAAACTTGCTTTCATTTAATTAATCATGATGAGTTTAGTCTGGAGGTTTTGTAGGGGAGAGCAAGCAAGCATATCCTTGGCTTTTCTCCCTTGGAAAAAAAGCAGTGTTTCATGTCTGAAACTGCAGCTCTTTTGTCTCCCCAGGTTGACATCCTTCTCTGTCCTTCGGGTTTTAATTTTACAAGCCATGCGCTTGCAGAGGTAGATCCAGTTTGAAGTCCATCCAGGTGTGGAATGAGGAAAGAACCGTCAAGAAGATTACAGGAGCTATTCTGCAACTCATTAACTCAATCTCTTCCCCTTCTTGTTATCTCCTCCCCATGCCTGGGGCCTTTCAAACTAGTGCTCTAAGTGCTTCTCACTTAATCTAGCCCACCTGGACAGGTGTATGAAGAAAGGAATTGCCTTCCGGGGAAGGACTAAAGGAGCATAGATTGGGGAGGGAGTCTGCTTTTGGGAACTGCTAATCCCAGTTTAACATTATGACAGCTGCTCGTTAAAATCAGGGTGTTTTTTAACAGGCAGTTAAAGGAGAGGCTTTGCACGCACATTTAGCTGAGAATAATAGTGAACCATGTGCATTTGATTTTTTTTTTTTTCTTAAATCACGCAAATTGTACATGGAAAGAATTCTCCGGCGTCAACTTGCTGGGGTATGGAATTTACAAGGTTTGCAGTAACATACAGTTTCCTGTTGAGGGGGGGAGAAAATTACAAAGCTTTCTTTTTCTTTTTCTCTTTTTCTTTCTCTCTCTTTTTTTTTTTTTTTTTTTTTAAGGTCAAGTTCAAACCTCTCATATAAATCCAGCCTCTTTGGAAGGTGTACTTACTGTGTTGGGGTTTTTCAGTTGTCTTGGTGGCAGATTGTCATGTAAACCTGTCTAGGTTCTCATTTTTATAGCTACATGTAAAGGCTGCTTATAAACTACAATTTTGTATACAGTGAGAAGGCAGCATGCAGATCTAATTTGGGAGAGTCTATATACAAAGAAAGAAGCAGAGGTTTCTTTGCCTTGGGGAGATGGCTGTTTCTTCCTAGCTGAACTTCCGTAAACTTGGTCTATTAACATGATTTTCTCTGCAGGACTGTGGTGTTGGATAAGAAACACGAAGAGCTGAGGCAGAGGTGGGACTATCAAAGAGACATTTGCTGTATTTTATGTAATTTCACTGCAGACTTTACCAACCGCCTCCCAGATCAGCGGTTATTTGCTGGTTGATTTCTTGTAGGCAGTGCTGTGGAAGTAAGAAACTGCGTAGCTCCTACACAAGCCCCCAGATCCACTCAAGGAGCGGTGTCCTTTTCTGCCAGCCCTTAGGTGTGAGGCATGAAGGGCAGGTCTGTGATGCAGAAAGATATAAAATTGCCCCAGGTAGCTTTGTTGCTGGAAATCCTTACTCCTGCAGCTACTTAGGTTCAGGCAAATTAATTTAACCTACCAGGACTGAGCAACTAGCCTTGGAATGGGAGTTTCTCTGCTACAGATTTGCTCTACTCCAAATCATTTGCGGATGGGAATATCCTTTCTGTCTCCCAGGAAATGTCAGTCTCTCATGGCCTTTTCTTCAGCTGGCCGTATTGCTACCTGGGATTTTCATGTGTGTTTCCAGCAGCCAAATCTGCAGCCATTCCCTTTCTGTTTGACAGAAATCTGGCTGCTTCAGAGCTAGAGATGAGCTGGGAATTTTCCAGACACACGTCTGTTTAAGAGAAGTTTGAGCAGTGAACTCCTCTTTTGACCCAACACAACTTGGTTCAGCCTCAAGGGACTGGTGCTGCCAGTTTGACTCTGCCTCCTTTAGAGTGATAATGAACTGGCCCTTGTCGCACAGTTTGGAGGAAGCATCTTGGTGGCATGGGGCTAATAGTCACAAGTCTTTTAATCTTAAGGGTGTAACTCTTAAGCTATAGCATAACTTCCCTTTACCCCCCAGCTTTAAAAGACTGAACTCTTGTTATGCAATGTTATCCCCCATGTTTTCTTACTCACCAGGTTGCTATCATGTAGAGCACTTGCTGATGGGGACCTGAGCTTTTTTTTTTTATGGTTCTTTTTACATTGTATAAATGGCTTTAATTTTTGCTGTTCTCTTCCTCTGCTCTGTAGTTAGAACCCTGCTGCTTCTCTCTCATGTTGTCGTATCAGGCCCCTTGTTTGCAAGGTCTGGGATGTGTGCTAGAAGGGAGACCCAGTGGTGTGATGTTGGCAAGAAGACCTGGGAGGGCAGGAGGAGAGTGGAGATTTCTCTGAGAGGGGACCAAAAGGACTGAGGCTGTAGTTTCAGAAACTGGAATCTAAAATTCAAGTGGCAAACAGGGATACTTGCTTGTGTTTCTGTTAGGGCAAATTCCTGTGGTGCCAAGACAGGTTTTCTGCAACTCGGATTAAAAAGGAGGCTGCAGTTCGCACGCGTGTGTGTGTGCGCGCGCACACTTAAATGCTTATCTGCAGATCTGAGCTTTCTAAACTTGTCTGTGCTCTAATTGCAGAGTGTAGACTCTGCATGCAGAACAACCCAGCCTGAAGTGATAATCCCAGGCTCAACCCCGAGAGAATGCCTGGCACTACTCTGGCCTGATTTTCTTAATGGCTCTGCAACTTGCCACTGGTTTGGAGGTGGTTTAAATTGTTATCTCTGAGCAACTTGCCCAGCTCGGGCAGAGCACTTAGGATCTCTGGTGTTCTAAGAATACCTATATGTTGTGATTTATTTATTAATTTTTAAAAACTTCTTCCTCCCTCCCCATGTTAGGCCTAATTTGGGTTTGTGTCAGCTCAACAGACTCGCTGAAAAGGAGTATAAGCCCAGCCTGCACTCCCTGCTGACACATGGAGAGGGGAGTGGGAGACCTTCGCTTCCAGCTGCCCCTCCTGCCTCCTCTGAGCAACCTTTCCTTGCCCCCACCACTGCATGATCTATATCCCTGCAATCCCCTCCTCTTGCACTGGAGAATTCTTATTTTTCCTCAGCTAATAACCTGTGTCTGATTTAGCTTCCAGGCGGACCGCCCTGCATTAAATGTCGTCATTTTCCCTCTGCTTCATGAGGACTTGACAGAGGTCATCAGAGATGTCCCCATGCGGCACTTGGATGAAATTACCTTGTTTAAAAGCAGAGTGGCCGAGGAACCTCCCAACTTGTGGTGGTGACTGTCACAGCATGGAAGGACAGTCAGCATGAGCACACAAATAGCTTCTTGTTGGCCTGGATTCCCCATCTTCAGCTCCTGGCCGCCTCACTGGATGCTGTACAATCATTTTAAATAGGTGCAATTGCAAATTAAAAACAGCTGGTCCTTTGCAGTGGGGAAACATCTATTGGATATTGCTTGCATCTGAAAATCCTGTCTCAAAGGCTTCTGGAATCTGATGAGTATTTCCTTGTGGTTAATATGAATTGTTTTGTTATTTTACTGAAGTTAACGGTAAGAGAAACTGACTTAACGATGCTCTTTCCCCTGTGTCGCCTGGTGTATTTCCTAAGGGCCCCTGTGTACTTTGGCAGTGTGCTTTGTGATATTGGTGGAAATCATTCTTTGCTTCTGTCTATTTTTGGCAAAGTAGAAAGCCTAAGCCAGCTAAGAGGCACAAAAATGTGTTGCTCAGTTGAAGTGCATCGCATCTTTTCTATGTTACAAATACTCATTTGTAGTCACACACATGCAGTCACAGATATTTAAAGAATTTTTTTTTTTTGATTGAGAAGTACCACAAGGACTCTTTTTTTTAATAACAAATTAAGGTCATTAGCACCTCGACCATGGTATGTTCTTGCTGATGCTGTTTCCATCAGTCTGGTGGAATAATTTCTCAGCTCTTTTGGAAATCCTTGTCCTAGGGTGGATGGTGCCTACAGTGAATAAGTTGAGGCTCAGATCTGATTTAAATGCAGTCTGTCTTGCAGTGTAGATGGGAATGCAGTGTTCCACTTCTGTCCTTAGATCCCATGCCTTGAGCTCATGCTAATTTTAGAGATGTTATGAAGTATTTTCACAGTGTGATTTCAGTCAGCTTCTCTGCTCCACAGAACTTCCTCAGGCATCAGTAGTGGTCTGGATCACTTTCGTATTGCCTTATTTACTGAGCACTTTTGAAAGCATCAGACAGCTGTACCAAAAGCCAAGTTACAAATTCCTGGAGCTACATTTCTGGGTGGCAGTCAGATTTCCCTTCTGCTGGAGTATTTTGTGGTAGCACACTGGGTCTGTCTTCTGCAAAACAGCTATCAGCTAGGGCTGTCTAACGTCTCCACCTAAACACTCCCTAAAATGTTGAGCAGTGCTTTTCTGGGGAGGCCCAGTGTTGTCCAAAGATGATGTTCCCATCTCCTTGTTGGCATTTTCTACACAAGATGCTATCTCCCAAACAGTGTTCTGCCATCAGTGGTTCATAGGAAGCCTGGACTGATGGGATGGATTTGAGAGCAAAATGCATCTCTCAGGTTTGGAGGACTTTCCCTCTTTACTTTCCCATCAGTCAGGTGTCAGCCTGCCTGGAAATCTGTCTTGCAGGTGTAAATCTTGAGCCAGACTGTGGTAACCCTTGTGCTCCGATAGGTTATGGTGTTAACGAGCAGGTTAATGTTAGCCTTCTACTAGCACAGGTCTGTGCATTGCTAAAACTAACCCCTGCATGTGTTTGCTGTCTGCCCTGAGTTTCTCTCCCTTCCCCACTCAGGACAGGGTGCCAGCAGCGGTCTCTGGTTTGCGGCTGGTAACAAGGTGGTGAGGCCAGCTCGTGCTCCTCTGGGAACGGCCGCAGCTGAGCTGCGATCACCTCCGAAGTATGAGACTCTGCCTCAGGTTAGACACCGTGCGGGTGAGCGCAAGGAGCTGGTGCCCTGTTCTTGGCATCCTGCCACTGTTTTCTCTCCCACTCTCCCAACGAGGTCGTTCTTTCTACCTCTTGTCATATTACTTGCCTGTTTGAATCCCTCTGTCCCTCTCCAACAGCTTTCTTCTCTCCTTCTCCCTCACTTCAGTGAATCAGATGTACTTTTTGGCAGGAACACGAGCCGCTGCTCTGTCCAGTTCTAGCCACTTCAGCTCTGCCTAGTTTTTGTCTGGGTTTCTTTCCTAGAATAAATAGCGAGGGTTAGGCAGCGAGTGTTTGCAAAGCTGCTTTCTCCTCCTTGTGCTTCTAGCCTCAGGGCAGGGTAGAGGGAAGGCTGAGGGTAGGGAGCCAGCTCTCTGATGCCTAAGGGGACCTGTTGGGTCCTGTGGAGGAATCCCAATGTTTGGTACGTCCTACAGGAGTGAGGCCATTGCCATCCTCAGCAGGGATTTCCCCTGCACATACATGCTGTGGCACTGGCAAGAGTTTGGCAAAACTGCCAGCTCGCCTGTTCCTGTCCTGCTGGAAAACTCAAAAAACACCTGTTGCTTAATGGTGGCGTTAACCCTTTGGTCTTGGGGGTTAGAGTAACCTGATGAAACATGCTGTACCTTTTGCTTGGCAAAGCGATACCCATCTGCCTCTTGTCTTGCTAGATGGGGGCAGGCAATCAGGCATGTTTTATAATGCCATTATTCTGTTGCCTGGAGTATGATGTTTAGACATCTGTATTCATGCAAGCAGGTCAGAAGTCCTGATGCAAACGCTACCAGTTATAATCGGGGCTAGGAAAAGTCACCTACAGGCAATAAAGATAGCACCACAAATAGTGATAAAGAGCTAAAAACTCCTTCCACCCCTGACTCCCCAACTCTGGGCCAATGCTCGATATCTCTACTACAAATCCTCTTATGGTGAGTGAGAATTTCCGCTGCTTCTGCACTCCAGGCAGGATTCACCAGATGTTAATAATGTGCTTATTTTCTCTAAGTGCTATTTTGGCATCGGTGTTAATTACAATTTATATTCTGCAACATTTACACTGGGAAAAGAACCCACCCTAATAGTCCCCAATTGGCAGAGCCGGGCTATTAAACATAGCACCATATGTTCTGAGCAGAGCAATATATGGGACTCGGAGCCCACTCAGCGCTGAGACTCTGGCGTACAGTGTTAGAGGAGGAGAGGAGAACGGAGAGATGGGTGTTTTGTTCCTAGCTTTTATTTAATATGAAATTCCCCCTCCTTTTCTCTGGTCTCTATCCCCTCTCTCCAGAAATCTCCCTCCCTCCAGAAATCTCCCTCCTGCTATCTGTGAGCATCTAATGAGGTGATCTCCGAGCCTGCTGATGCCACTGTCCGTAGTCTAAAATAAATGAATTCAATTACAGAAGGTGCCCTTCTTGCAGGGAGTGCCTCTGCAGGATTCCCAGTCCCTGCTGGCGTGTTTCTTGCTGTGCTCCAAATCAGACCTCTGATCTTTGGGGACTGCAGAAGAAATCTTAGCTTTGACCACCAACGAGGTGTCTGGGCTTCTTTGGGAGAAGGATAGTCTGGGACAAGTGCCATTAGCCTGTAAAATCAGAAGTTGTTTGCTGCTCTGCTAGTCTTGTTTAGTGAAGTAGCATTTGGTTCCTGCAGGCTGGGAGAGTCTAGACCTGAAGAGTGACAGTGGTTTTGGTGGGGGGAATTGGGTAGGGCTAAGTCATCGGTGTTTCGGTAGGTTTCTTAGAAGGACTGTGGGTTAAAGGACTGCTTCAAAGCTGATTTCATGGTCGCTTTAGAAAACAGCAGTGTATCCACTGCTCAGTTGGGAAAGGGGGCTGTGTGGCAACTGCCTCTTCCTTCAGGAGAGCTTGGACTGCAGTCGCTCATCTGTTGGGGAGGTGGTTCGGCAGGAGGAGAAGAGATGGGAGTGAAAGGAGGCAGGGCAGGACCGCGTCACGGACCTCCAACTGGAAGCCAGACGCACACCGTGAGACTTGGCCTCAATTTCCCCACTTGTGAAAGGGGAGGGCTCACCCGCCTCGTGCGAGGGAGCTTGCAGGGGTGCAAAACGCTTTCCCCTCCAGACGAGGTGGTGCTGCCTTGGGAGGAGAGGGCAGGGCTGGGGTTGCTAATGCAGGCTGACGGGTAGCAGAGCAGCGACCCTGCTCGCTTTAATTCGCATGACTACCTCCTCCTCTGCTGAGGCGTGTGAGACTCCCAGGGGAGCAGAGCAGGATCTGTCCCTTCGCCTTGCTGATCTTCGGAGGCATGAAGGTCCTGGGGCAACATACTGTGCATTGTGAGGTGCTGGGTACTTTCTCCCAGCAGCCTTTTTTTAGGATGGGGTATCCCCCCACAGCTGCAGAAATGTGGGACTTTTCCATTTGCAGAGTTAATCGGTGCAGAAGGGTTATTTTGTCTGTTTAAGCGAGATGCGATCCCCCCTTGGCCGGTCCCAGCGGAGAGTGTCCATCCAAAGCTCCTCTTCCCTATCTGCAGGGAGACCTGTGCAGGGAACCACGCTAGCCATGCTGGGTATTGCAGAGGCAAATCTCCTTCCACTGCAGCTCTCCTGCCTCTTTGATTAGATGCGCAGGCAGCCGGGGTACTCTAGCAGGAGAATCATTTCCATAGAAACCAATTGGGATGTTGTACGGGGAATAATGATTAATAGTGAAGAGATGTTGCCTCAGGCCCTTTTCATTTTTTAGGGGGCAGCGAGGGACAAACCGGAGCACAGGTGGGGGGACAGGCAGGCTCGAAAACTAATGGAAACCATCCCTTCCATTAATTTCCAGGGCAGCTTCCCCTCTTTTCCCCCTACCCTGCCGCCCACTGCTGCTTCCCCGCTTTCGTCAAATTTTCAAAATGGCTAACCTGGTTAGAAATAATCATAATAATAAAAAAGGATGGATGAGGTCTGACTACTAACATTGTTGCTGTTAGCAGCAGGATTTCAGCCATAAAACATGAAGCAAGGGAGGCATTGACCTTTCCGCTGTTTGAAATGAATGGAGACATCAATATCTATTGTTTTGTGGCATTGACCTCTGACGCTCTCGTTTCGCCCTCCCCTTTCTTTTTTTTTAATTTCCCCCTGACACTTGAGGAAAGGGGTCAGTTTGTACCATCTATTGATCCCGATCTTACTTGGTGATAGGGAAATAATTAGAATTTTAAAGATCTCTGCTGCACACTGGCAAAATACATACACAGACGCGCACGCTAAGCCCCCGCTTCCTGCGTTGCGTTCTCCCCCCTTCCTTGCAGAGATTCAAAGCTCTGAGATCTGAAGGAAGACAGATCAATATAGGTTTAATCATGATGGGGTTTTTATTTCGTTTTTTTAAATGGTAAAGTGTAACGTTTTATGTTAATGTTGTCGGAGTCTGGCTGCCTGGTGCCTTGTTTTATTTATTGTTTTAAGTAGCCCCTTCTTTTGTGAACTTCATCTATGTACAGAGAATGTGAAATCAGGCATTGCTAATTAGCTGTATGACAATTAAGTAATGTAGCACAAAACCATTAGGACACTGGATTTGTTTTTGAAGTTTGTCCTTTGAAGTGGAAGCTGCAACTCCCTGCCCAAGGCTGCTGGGGAAAATGTTTTTCTATCAAAACTTTCT